TGTCTGAATGTGTGTTTTACAAAAGGGGGGGGGGTCAGTGGAGTGTTTTTCTGGCAGACTCAGCTCCCCGGAGCTGATTCATAACGGTGCTGCTCCTCAGTGTCCAGCACGACACTCTGGCAAGTGTGCTACCTGCCACTCCTCAGTTATTGCTGCTTCATCGTTTGTAGCACCAGATGCTTTCAGAGTACGCCGTGTAACTCAAGAGCACTGTAAACTGTAGCAATCAAAACGCCAGAGTCGCAATGTTTTTGTTTTGACTTGGGAGAACGGACGTTACAGTTTCGGGGAAAGCGAGAATCTTTCTTAGAACACCAATGGCTTGCTGCAGTACTCGTCCCTCATTTCCTCCGTCCATGCTTGTTGGAACTTACGTGCATTACCTGTGTTTAGCAATCACATTGCATTATCTCCCGCCGTTTCTACAATACTGCTTCCTTTTCCACTATACTGCTTCCGTTTCCACTATACTCATGCACGCACACACATATATTCTCCTCTCACGTACATATATTTTCCTTTCACACACATATATTCTCCTTTCAGTGTATGTGTGAGTAGAATATATGTATGTGTGAGTAGAATATGTGTATGTGTAAGTAGAATATATGCATGTGTGAGAAGAATATATGCATGTGAGAGTGAAAATGTATGCGTGTGAAACGCTGAGAATACATAATGTCTTATACGGCCCCTCATACAAAATAACAGATGGCCCTCACTAAGCTTTCATTTTGAAAGCTTTGATAGACTTTGCATTTATGTTTAGCCAGCTTCTCACTGGTGGAAGGTGGAGAGGAAAGCAGTGACTGTAGACCCAGTGCTGTTTCAGGCTCCCTCCCTATCTCTCTCTCTCTCTCCCCCTCTCTCACTCTTTCTCTCCGTCGCTCTCTTAAAGCACCCCTCCCTTTCCTTTTACCTCTTGCAGTTAAACGGAGCGCTGCTGCAGTGGCACTCCACCACTCTGCATCTCAGCAGAAGTCAAAAATAAAAGTGTTGCTTTGTCGCATATCACTGGATTATACTTCTTGTCTCTCCTTCAGAGACAAAATGAACATCACCCTGCAGCTTCTCATGGAATAGGACCAGGTAAGACCTCAATGATTGGCAGGGGAGGTGAGAAGATTTCACATGTTGGGTGTGTAAAGCATGCTGATGCTGCTGCTGCTACAGTAACTCAGTGGGTGTGTCGCCTTCCTTCATCTCTGGCTGCATCACGCTTCCATCTGGATAGCTCCCTTTCCTTTGTCTGCCTTTGATGCTGAGGATCTGGTGCATTTGCACACTGTGTGTGTTTGTGTGTGTGTGTTGGGGGGGGGGGTTGAAGAAATTATGATAAGACATGCTCATGCATCACTGTGTATTAATTATTTATAAAGTATATGATTGGAGTCATGCTGCATTCATGATGTTGTTCATGTGTTAGGATTAAATTCATTCTATTTTTTCTACACAAGCAGGAATAATTCAGTCATATTTGTAGCAATGGTTCGTGTATTTTTCTAGAAAACCCTCCCAGATGCAGATAGTTTTTCAGTGGTGAAAAAATGAGGACTTGTAGTATATAATCATCAAAAGAAGGCTCCTACTACTAATGATTATTTTCATCATCACATGGCTGGTTTTGTTTGACCGTTTGTCCAAAACTGAGGAGACAAAAGGAGCAAATGATCATACTTGAAAAGCCATTAATGGTATTTTTCCTTGATAGGTCACTTAAATCATTACCCAGTTATATTATGGCTGATTAATTTTGGGTAATCAAAAAAAGTACAAGCGTAACAACTGATTCAGCATAAAATTTTAGACATACCTTTCCACTTGAAGGCAAGAATTGGATGTTTAAATGTTGAAAATACTAATACAAACTTTTGTTTAACTGATTTAGGGCTGCAACTAACAATTCATTTGATCAAATCTGCCAATTATTTTCTTGATTTATCATCTAGTCTATAAAAGATCAGAAAACAGTGAGGACTTGTCCTTCCTAGTTTCTTAGCAGCCACAGTGATATCTTCAAATGTCTTGTTTTATCCAATGAATTTAAACTTACAGTATGTAAAACAGAGAAAGGCAGGAGGACTTTACAGTATATCTCAGAGGCTGAAAATAGCATTATTTTTCTTTTAGTAGTTTCACTTGAAAAATGACAATTATCAAACAAGTTGCAGATTATTTTCCTGTAGATCAGCTGATCAATTAATCAACAAATTATTGCTGCTCTAAACTGGATTCAGTAAATTCAGTATAAAATGCCACAGTGACCAAGAGAAATCAACGGTGTTTGAGAGTGGATTAAAGTGTGTGGAGTTACTGTAACATGGCTGCCTCCAGAATCTGCTCTGTTGTCAAAGTGTGCGAGTGTGATGAAGCTGTGGTGGCAGCTCTGAGACGAGACACCAGTTAAGTCTGAGAGTCAGCAGGATGATGAGGACAGTAATACACTGCAGCTCTACTCATTGGCAGGACAGAAGGTTGAAGTGCAGCCAGCTGCTTAATTGTATCATTTGGGCTGTAGTAGTAGTGTGGGATTCATGTCTGGAGAAGGAAGAAGAAATCATCTTTGGTCTGTTGTGACAGTCATCTTCAAAATGGTCAAAGGAGCTGTTCAATATCTTTGCTAAAATAATTATTTAAAAAATAAAATTTGTTTAAGTATAGAACTGGAGTCAGGACGTGTTTAGCCGAGCTTAGGATGAAGACTGGAATCAAAAATACACTTACCAGCACCTCAGAAACTTACTGATTAATAAGTGCCTGGTTCTGTTTAATTTGTGCACAAACAGAAATGTGAAAGCCACAGTTTTTGGTGTGTCACGTAATAAAGCTATTTTTTGTTCAAATGCAGGCTGATGTGGTGACTGAGTGCAGCTAGACACAATGTATAGAGGCACTGAGCAGATGGATAAGCTGTTGTGGGTCATAAAAAGTTCCAGCACATCATAACCACCTCACCTCAAACTATGGTTTTATTTAGAGTATTTGTGTTTGTGTATGAACTGAACAAAACCAAATATATGTTAGGGTGTACTCACACTAGGTAATCACAAGTTTGGCATGAAGGTTTTAGAAGAGACAGTGTTGAGAGTTGTGTGTGTGTTTTAAGGCAAACAGAAACAACATGAGCAGGTGGTGTACAGTAGCTTTTAAAAGCTTTTCTTGTCCTGGTTGTATGTACTCAGAAGCCTGATGAATGGATGAGGACAAAAGACTGAGGGCTAGAAAATAAACTGCATTTTAAAGTCTCTTGGTTTAACATAGTCATCCACTTGACCATTTGAAATTCACCAAATGGAACAGTAATGGAAAAATAAAAGCACTGAAACCACTCCAAAAATATTTGTAACAGATTACAAACAACCCACATCAGATGAACTGTGGTTCAGACTGGCATGCTATTAGTAATTTTGTGGTCTTATGCTACCTTTTTGCTGAAGTAAAATGCAATAAGGTATAAAATGTTTCTGGGTTAAAATTAGGTATAAAATGTTTCTGGGATAAAATTAGAGTATTTTAAACTTTTGAACCTACTCTGCAGTACATTATGTAGACTAGAAGGTCTAGGGAGACTCAAAACAGACACCATTTGTTGCTAATGAAGTCGACAGTGCAATTTTTTTTGTGGTAAATTGCACTATACATTTCATTGAGGTCAACCAAAAGAAAAACTGTGTTACTTTGTACCAGCTGTACTTTTGCTGATGACACTGTTCTGATCATGACACTGTTCTGTTAGCTGTGTCTCAGGGACTGCATCCTTCGAAAGATGCAGTCTAGGAAGGGATGGTCTTCATAGCTGTCATGGACCACAAAGGCTGAACTGAAATGAGACAAATCTGTTGTACACAGGATTTCCTATTTACGTTACTGACTGTTCATGCCATTACCTTAGTTGGAACCTTCGTTACCCAGAGAAAGGATTCATTTTCTTGGCCACATTTGAAGGAGCCTTTGAAATGGGATGACCTTGTCGTGACACTGTATCTGTATTCAGATGAAGCCTTTGAAGGATGTGTTCCCTGAACTGGCGGTCAGCTCTTGTACGGTGTGGTGCTGATGGAGCTCGATTAGCATCATCCATCCATCAGGACCCTTCTCACACTGTATGTCAATCGACAACCGATTGGACCCAAATTTTGCCTGACTGAAAGTAGTTGGGGGCGACTGTATCTAATCTAAAATTTGGCCAGATCCATAAAGTGTCTGCATTGCTTAACCACTCTTTGCCCCTCCCAGGCTATATAGTTTTGGATTTTGTTTTCCCTTAATAATAAAAACCTTCATTTAAAAACTGCATGATGTGTTTACTTGTGTTATCTTTGACTAATATATAAATTTGTTTGACGATCTGAAATATTACAGTGTGACAAACATGCAAAAAGATAAGAAATCAGTAAGGGGGCAAACACTTTTTCACACCACTGTAAACTATGGGTGCCTGGTTGCAACAAACTGTACAACAAAGCAGTCTCCAGTCCGAAGCTAGCGTTAGTTGACTAATGAGTAAATGTGTTAGTCCAGGGGAACGTTCTGGCTACTCCTAGCATTACACAAAGCTCAAACTGGTCCCAAATTGATATTAATTCAACACAAAGCTAAATTCATGACCATGCTAAGTCGCTAAAGTTACAAAAAAGGTGTATTGGCTTTAGATGTGAATGTATCCAGAATGAGACACCACATTTGAATCAAATATGAGTCATTTGGCTGCTTTTAACATTCTCCATCTCAAATTATGGACTGTATTTTGACAACACAGGACAGAGAGGCTGGAATAACTGTAGGCAGCAGAGGGTCATGGAGGAGAATAGTGTAGCATAGAAAGACACCATGTCCTGTACCATTTTGACTTGATATATCAGACTGCGTAAAATCCTGAAATGGATCTGCAAATAAAACAGAGGTGGATGACAGTGACCAACCATTATTCAGTATTTAATAAAAGGTCTGCATCAAGTCAGTACATCAGCTAACTGATGGTCTAACTCCAGCATGAAATAAACATTATCAAAGCATCAAGTCATTACACTGCTGCAGCAGAGCTAAA